ACTCTGGAGTCATTTTTCAAGATCTTGCTTCACTGGATGGGAATCAGATATCAGAATGTCCATCTGTCCTAATCCTGCAATATTTTGCAAACAGGCATTGCTGTTTCCAGGCTCAGAGACTTGGCCTTATGGTTGGTGCAGTTTTGCTGCCTCTGATCACTGGTTGTTGTCGAGCTCCAGGAGGAGTGACATAGCTAGGTGGCAGGTTCCCAATGACAATATATTTACAGCTACAACATCTGTTATCAACTTTGTTTGGACCAGCAGCATTTTCAGCTTCTGTGACACTTGAGATACTAGAACAACTTGTTAAATCCTTTAAAACTAAAGAAAAACGATTACTTTTTATAGATATTTGCTATCAATAAATCAGTTTGATCTGCAGATGCTAAGAGATAATTGGAATAAAGAATTTGAGGTTCCTATGTTGCCTAGACAATGGGAGAATGTCTTAACTTCTATAACAAGAGTGTCAGTGGACCTTCAACTATGACTTATACAACAAAAAATGATCTTTAGAACTCATTGGACTCCATGACATTTGTATAGAAAAGGATTGTCTAAGACAGCATGTTATTGGAGATATAATAAGGACAATGCCTCTCTAAAACACATATTTTTACAATGTACTATCCTTGCTAAGTTCTGGGAGAAAGTAGTGGACTCTATAAATGTGACTGTGCGACAAAAGCTAAAATTTTCAGAGGATAATATTCTTTTGAACTATATACCTAGTACATGGAATTTGACATCTGGACAACGGAAATGGATTCTCTATGCCCTTACTATGGCTGAAAGATTGATACTGCAGCATTGGAAAGACAGATGTATGGCCCCGTTCACTCAATGGATGGAATTCCTGTTTGCACTTGCTACTTATGAATAGATTGCCTATAGACTTTGTATGGACAAGAATAATGAAATATGGGATGCATTTATGCAAAATACAGTAGGTTAAAAAAAAGCATGATAGTTATATAAATGTATTAGAAATAAATATAGAGATACTTCCATAATGTTTGTATTAGAAAATTATATATAGAACTGTAACTGTTGCAATGACATATTAGACTTTATATATATTTTTTCCGGTTTATTCTTTTCACTTATTTCATTCTATTTCATCAACGTGGCCTGGCATTGGGCAAGAATGATATAAATCTATATTTTTATTAAAGTTTAAAATCTTTTAAATTTAGATTAATAATGATCTTCCTTCCAGTTCCTGCATTTCTGACACAAGACAAGACTTATTTCATTTTTAAGCTGTTGTTATGTATTTTTATTTGATAATGTGTGTATTTTTGTGTTTTGTTCCCTTTTTTTTCTTTTTCTCTTATTTTAAAAGCAATAAAAAAAATAGATTAAAAAAATAGCTAGGTGGCCAGCTTGGCTCTTCCTGGGAGGAGGAGTCATGAGCTGCCCTGCTGGGTAGTGCAGATTTAGGGCAGTGATTCTCAACCCTAGCAACTTTAAAGTGTCTGGACTTCAACTCCCAGAATTCCCCAGCCAGAACTCTTGGAGTTGAAGTCCTGACATCTTAAAGTTACTAAGATTGAGAAACACTGGTTTGCGGCCTCATAATCTGCAGGGCCTCACAAAATGTCAGAATATCAATTTTTTTCATTTTGCAAATGAATTCATTATTACTTCTACTAATAAAAGTGATCCCAATTACTTATTTTGTCAACATTTTTTATATATATTCATGTCTCTTAAAATTATTTTAAAATTTACATTTAAGTCTTGTTTCCAGGGAATACTACATTATAATCTAAGAGACAAATCAAGCCAGCCAAATGATAATTATGTAATCAGTAAATGCATTCATTTGAAAATAATTTGTATTTTTCATTTTAAATACTTTGCAATTAAATAATTAAAGTGTGTGTGTGTATGTTTTCAATTTTTTTGCAGCGACCCAAGGTCCTGATTTGGTATGCACCTTAGTGAGATCTTCTGGCATAACTTTTTAACATTGAGCCTCCAAGGTTTATATAGCTTAGGGCCTCACCAAGTCTAAATCTAGCACTGCTGCTGGGTGAGATATTTTGGAGTGTAATAAATCTAAAGTTTCCATAGATCCTAAGTATTTGTCTCTTGGTGTCAGATGTCTTGCCCTTGGCCTGCAATCCAACTTCTTCAGCAGTTTTACCTCCTTTAATCACCAAAGTTGCACATTTGATGAGATCGAATTGCATTCCTGTGTCCTCATTCAATACAAGCACAGTATTCAATAAAATTCAAATTGCCTTCTTGTATCCTCACTGGATAGAAGGACAGTGTTCAATGTATATTCAAGTTCTGCTTTTGATTTTATAATAATTTAAAGGGGAAAGTAATAGTAGCAAATAGCAAATAGTAAACCAAGAGAATGACCTGGATAATATCTTTTTATTGAATAGTAGCAAATAGCAAATAGTAAACCAAGAGAATGACCTGGATAATATCTTTTTATTGAATAGTAGCAAATAGCAAATAGTAAACCAAGAGAATGACCTGGATAATATCTTTTTATTGAATAGTAGCAAATAGCAAATAGTAAACCAAGAGAATGACCTGGATAATATCTTTTTATTGAATAGTAGCAAATAGCAAATAGTAAACCAAGAGAATGACCTGGATAATATCTTTTTATTGAATAGTAGCAAATAGCAAATAGTAAACCAAGAGAATGACCTGGATAATATCTTTTTATTGAATTTACAAAAGTGGCTTGGTGAAGCCTCGAAAAAGCCTTTGCGATGGGACAAAGAAAAATTGAAGAGAGATCAAATCCTATGACAATATTTAAATTAATTAAACATTAAGATTTTCAGAAGTAAAAGAAAGGAATATAAAGTTGGTTTATTTGATCAAGGTTAAAATAAGGCATGTTTTTATAAAGTTCTAGCAACATTTTACAGCTTTTTTGCTGACACTGGGATTGAAAAGCTGATGTCTTGTGGATTTGCTTATAGATAAGGAATGGGTTATGGGAAGAAGAGATATCTGTTTGTAACCTTATAGGGGTGAAGAGCTACCAAACTTGTTTATACTTGTTGTGATGAAGAATAGAAGTCACTTCTTTATATATTTCTTTTCTTTTTCTTTATCTCACTCTTTCGTTTTTCTTTTTCCCCCCTTCATTGCACATATTACTCTCTCTTTTCATTTTCATTTTCTTCTCTGAGTTTAGTTTGTATTAGTTTTTATTTCTGTAATTAAAAATGTGTGTGTGTGTGTGAATGTATGTGTGTGTGTGTGTGTATACAGTATATATATATATATATATATATATATATATATATATATATA